AAGATTAACTCAGAGATAAAAACTAATGTAAAACCCAAAACTACCCGCCGCCCACCAACAACTCAATAGAGACTGGGTGTGCTGGCTTCATGCTGTAATCCAACGCACTTTGGGAGGCCGCAGTGCAGCATCACGAGGTCAGGGAATTCGAACAATCTCGGCTAACATGTGGAAATCCTCCGTCTCTACTAAAAATGAAGAAAAAATTGCGCTGGCGCGAGGTGCGGCACTGCTGTATCCAGTACTCACGAGGCCGAGCAGGAGAATTGCTGAACCTGGAGGTGAGGCTTGCAGTGAATGAGATCCACGAGCCATGCACTTATGTCCTGGGTGAATGGGCGAGACTCTGCTCACAAAAAAAAAAAAAAAAAAAAGAAACCAAAACAACAACAAACACACACACACAGACACACACAAACCATAGAAGAAAATATAGGTAATACCATTCATTCAGGACTTAGGCACAGGCAAAGACTTCATGATGAAAACATCAAAAGCAATTGCAACTAAAGCAAAAATTGACAAATGGGTTTTAATTAACTAAAGAGCTTCTGCTCAACAAAAGAAATTATCTTCAGAGTCAACAGACAACCTACAGAATGGGAGAAAATTTTTGCAATCTATCCATCTGACAAAAGTCCAACACCCAGAATGTACAAGGAACTTAAACAAATTCACAAGAAAAAAAAAAAGAACCTCGTTAAAAAGTCGGCAAAGGACATGAACAGACACTTCTTAAAAAAGACATTTATCCAGCCAACAAACTAAAAAAAGCTCAACATCACTGATCATTGGAGAAATGCTAATCAATACCACAATGAGATACCATCTCATACCAGTCAGAATGGCGATTATTAAAAAGTCAAGAAACAACAGATGCTGGTGAGGCTGTGGAGAAATAGGAATGCTTTTTTACACTGTTGGTGGAAATGTAAATTAGTTCAACCATTGTGGAAGACAGTGTGGTGATTCCTCAAAGACCTAGAGGCAGAAATATCATTTGACCCAGCAATCCCATTACTGGGTATATACCTAAAGAAATATAAATCATTTTATTATAAAGATACATGCATGTATATGTTCATTGCAGCACTATTCACAATAGCAAAGACATGGAATTGACACAAACGCTCATCTGTGATAGACTGGATAAAGAAAATATGGTACATGTACACCATGGAATGCTATGCAGCCATAAAAAGGAACGAGATCATGTCCTTTGCTGGAAGGAGCTGGAAGCTATTATCCTCAGCAAACTAACATAGGAACAGAAAACGAAACACCGCACATTCTCACTTGTAAGTGGAAGCTGAACAATGAGAACACATGGACACAGGGAGGGGAACAACACACAGTGGGACCTGTTGGGGGCTGGGGAAGGGAGAGCATCAGGAAAAATAGCTAATGCGTGCCAGGCTTAACACCTAGGGGATGGGCTAATAGATGCAGAAAACCAACATGGCACAGGTTTACCTAGGTAATAAACCTGCACATCCTACACATATATACTGGAACTTAAAATAATATAAAATAAATAAAATATAAAATAAAACATACCATGCACAGTTCCTGGCACACAGATGGTGAAGCTATAAGTAATGGATCAGAAATATAATTTAAAGATGCTGAAGAGGATATTAAAATTTGTAATTATAAATTTAATTTACATTTTTGTAGGAAGAAGTTTTTTAGAGATTTTTTTCTTCTTCATCTTAATTATATGCTTTTGACTATTAGAATGTTAGTAACAATACAGATTGACAGGCAAAATGAGAATGCAGGGTATTTGGAATTTTACTATTTCAAAAAGATCAAATCAAAGATTAGCATAGTGGAGTGAATGGTTGATTTGGGGAACGGTTCAGAACCAGTTAGTGAAAAAGTCTAAGATGATGCATTCTTAGATATAAGAAAGGGGAAGAGATTTGAATAAATCAACAAAACAGAAGATGAAGCAGTTTCAATGAGGGTCGTGAACAAATTTAAAAAAGAGAAAAAGAAATAAATATTAACATGAGGTAGTTATAGATCAATTACTTTAAGACTAATACATACCTCTGGAACTGTAGTTTCCATCAGAGACAGTGGAGGAGGAACACATCCACCATCCTGTGCAATTTCCACTGGTTGATAAATAACCTCAGAAGGTTGCAGGTATAAGAAGGGAGCAGAAGAGGCAGGAGGCTAAAACACAAAACCACATTTCTAATTCAAATACGATTACTTATTTCTGTTAAACCAAATGACTTAGCCAACAGATGAGAGAAGTATTTGCTTTATATTTTACTAAATTTTTTTTTAGGAATAGCACAGAAGTATCTCAGCAATGGATCAGAAACTAATCTGTTATAAATTCCATTTGTGTAGATGTAAATAATCTTATCACTGGTAAGCACTAAAACTTCTTAATGACTCAGAACCTCATATATAAATCCAGATAATAATTATGGTTATATTAATATCACCAGTAAAGGTTGTAATAAAGTGACCTATGGTATTTAAATTGACATAAATGTCTGCTCTCAGCTCTGTGACTTCTAAAGGAAGTGGGAAAATGTCATTAAACAATTTTTTGGTGAAGTACTGTTTGTCACCAAAAGTTGGAAAATAGAATACTTATTTAGGAACGGAATAAGAACTGAAGCCAAATCCAAGTGAAGCTAGAAAAATGCTAAATTTTCAAATAATACTAATAGTAAAAAAGAGTAAGTTTTCATGTTTATACAGTACACATTTATAAAATGCTTTCACTTATGCATTATCATTTGATATTCACAAAAATCATATAAGGAAACTTACACAGGTATAGTATCATTACATACATTTTTACAAATGAAGAAACTGAAAACAAACTGCCAAAAGAATGTTAATAAATAGAGGAAGGTCTCAAATCTAGTTCTCCTGACTTTAGTATTCATGCAGTCATCACAAGAATATAACGAAAGAAGGATTTAAAATTATATATTGAAAGTTAACATTTACCTGAGGAACACTCCACTGCCACTGTCCTGGTAAATACTGTGCGGTGGCCTAAAATTAAATAAAAGAAAAGAAAAACCCACTCAGATTATAAACAAGGGTTAAAAGTAGATATCTACAGGCAAAAATATGAAGTTGAACCCTCACACCATACACAAAAATCAACTAAAGCCATATACAAAAATTAACTCAAAATGGACCAGAGACTTAAATGTAAGAGCTAAAATTATAAAACTCTTAGAAAAAAACATAGATGTAAATGTCTTGACCTTGAATTAGGAAATGTTTGTAAAATTATGATTCCAAAAGCACAAACAACAAAGCAACAACAAAAAATAGTTAAATTTGATTTCATCAAAACTTTTGTGCAAGTGAAAATACAACCCACAGGATGAGAGAAAATATGGAACTTATATCAAGAATGTATAAAGAACGCTTACAACTTAATAATCAAAAGGCAAGTAACCCAACTTAAAAATAGGTAAATGATATGAATAGACTTTTCTCCAAAGAAGATATGCATATGGCCAATAAACACAAGAAATAACGCTAGACACCACTAGCCTTCAGGGAAATACAAATCAAAACCATAATACAACCATAATACACTTCATACCCACTAGGATGGCTTTAATCAAAAAAGTAGATCATAAGTGTTGATGGGCATGTGGAGAAATTAGAACCCCCATAATCTGCTGGTGGGAATGTAAAATGGTGCACCCCTTTAGGAAAATAAATACTTCCTTAAAAGGTTAAACAGAGTTACCATATGACCCAGCAATTCCACCCTAGTTACAAGACCTAACAGAATTAACAATATATATTCACATAAAATTTGTATGTGAATGTCCATCGCAGCATTATTTATAACAGTCAAAAAGTAGAAATAACTCAAGCGTCCATCATCTGATGAATGGATAAACAAAATGTGGTGCAGTGTATCCATACAATGGGATATTATTATTTGAGAATGAAGTACTAAGACATGCCATGTCTCATTTATCATGACACAGATAAATCTTGAAATCATTATGCTAAATGAAAGAAGCCAGTCACAAAAGATCACATATTGTATGATTGTTTTTATAGGATATATCCAGAATAGGCAAATCTAGAAAAACAGGTAAGTAGATTACTGGTTGCCTAGGGCTGGGATAAGGGGAAAAAGAAGAGTAACTGCCAACTACTCAACTCGTCTACTGTAGCACAAAAACAGCCATAGACAATAAGTAAACAAAAGTGGCTGTGTTCCAATAATGCTTTATTTACAAAAGCAGGCTGCTGCTAGAGTTTGTTCTGCAAGCCATAGTCTGATGACCCCGCTATAGACCAAAATGGTCTGTCATTATAGTTCACTTATCCCCAGTTTCTCACTAGAATTAATGAAGAGTGCTGGTTAACTGAAAGAGGATGTCATAATATATAATAAACCACAATATATTATTTACTTTAATATAAATTATGTTAAATATAATATAGCCAGAAACTGACGTATGTTAACATTAAAAAACCAGCTTGCAGTCCAATACCTGTATCTTACTTTGGGAATTATTGCTGAAGACTTTTTAGATTAAATGTTAGCCAGGGGAGCAAAACTGACCTCATTACATTTGGTAAAAGGAAGCAAAGAGTCCATCTTCTTGTATGATATTGTTTAGTTCCCTCGTGAAAAAAGAGAGGCATGATGTCAGCAAGATGGCTGACCAGAGATGCCTGGCATTCATTTTCCACTGGCTCCCCATCCCGCCACAAGAAAGGACTAAGGCAATGAATAAACAGCTACAATTTGATAGGAGCATCAAAGGGAGAGTGCTAGAGTGCAGCAGGGGAGTGGAGACACACCTGTGGTGATTGCAAATCCAGGAGCACAGCATGGAGCCACTCAGCCTCTGCAACCCCTTCTCTTTTGCTAGGATTGGATCTGCCTGGAGTCCTGCAATTTCTTATTGCAGGGAAAAGGTACGCAGAAGATCCCCACCAGTCTGCATTGCTACTGCAAACACCCACACTCCGTGCAACAGGAGAATCCCATAGTCTCACAGTTTGAAGAGTTGCTGGGAATTCGTGGCTGCGTTGCCCCAAATTAGGAGTACAAAGTATGTACTCCTCACCCCCTCAATCCCATCCTGTGAGCCAAGCTGCTACAGTGTGACAGCATCTTGAGGCCACAGCCGCCTCTGAAGTGCTCCCTCTTCTAGGGGGCCAATAGCTATTGCATGTCTCCAGCACTGGGGTTCCATTTTCATTCCGCCAAGTCCGTAGCAGTGGCTGAACACAACCCCAGCAGCATGGAACCTGAGGCTTAAGATTGGCTGTGATTCTGGCTCTGTACAGTACGGAAACCACCTTCTGTTGCCCTCACCTCCAGCTAGAGGAACAATTTGGCTGACCTGCCCAGGGTGAACCCACTCTTTAGCTAGTCAAACTGCTGCATTCCCCTGAGCAGGAGAGGTCCTCAAGCCTGGTAGCAGCTGACATGCTGCCGGGACGGAATGGTTACACACCTGCATACAGGGCTGAGAAACAGCCCAGAGGTGCCTCATGCCCTGCAGACAAGCCCCTGATCTATCCTGTGCATATAATTAGAGCCCAAGAAACAGCTCTGGGGACTGCCACTGGCAGAAACGTCCCCAGGGGAGTGGAGTGGCTGTGTGTCCATGCCTCAGGCCTAAGAATTGGCCTCGTGCCCACCCCTCTAGCAGACACATCCCCAGGACAGCTGAGCAGCCTTGAACCTGTGTCCAAGGCCTGAGAAGAAGCCCCACAGGCTGCTTCCAGTGGGCATGATCCCAGGCCGACCAATAGCCCTGTGCCTGCATTCTGGGCCTATGGAACAGCCCTAACAGAAACGTTTCCAGGCCAGGTGATCCACCTTGTGCCTATGTCCCAGACTGGAGAAATAGCCCTGTGGGCCACCCCCAGCAGACATGCCCCTTGGACCAGGTGAGCAGTTGTGTACCTGCATCCCGAGCTGGAGAAACAGTCCCTGACAAACATGTCTCTAGCCAACTGAGCAGCCATGCAGCTGTGTCCACGGCCTGAGAAACAGTCCCATGGGTTGTCCCCAGCAGATGCACCCCCAGGTCATCCAAGGAGCCATGTGCCTGCATACCCAACCCGAGAAACAGCCCCACAGGCTGCCTTTGGTGGGCACTCCCCGAGGCTGGCTGAGAAACTGCATGCCTGTGCTCTCAGCCAGAGTAACAGCCCTGTGGCCCCAAGCCAAGCGAGCCAGACTTACCATGTTCATGTACATAGTCCTGACCTGAGGAACAGCCCAGCAAGCCCAAGCCCCACCACCATTATCACAGACTCTCTTGTCCTAGGTCACTGAGAAACTTGCAAATACAACTAGAGAGTATTACAGCTTAAGAGACTACACAGAGACTACCCTACTATGTCCACCTAGAACCAAGGCCAATGCACCCCACTGAACCAACACCCCAAAATCCATTCACAGAAATAAGTCTTCCCCTATGAAACCTACTTCAAATTTGAAAAGGTGACTTTTGTACCAGATGTGTAGAAATCAATGTAGGGACACAGCAACCATCAAGGAAACATGTTACCTCCAATAAAAATAGTAATTCTATAGTAACAGACCCCAATCATAGGGAAATATTTGCATATATTTCATACTGCCAGAAAAAGAATTCAAAATAATAATTTTAAGGAAATTCAGCAAGATACAAGAGAACACAGACATACAATTCAACAAAATCAGGAAAACAACTCATAATTTGAATGAGAAATTTAACAAAGAGATAGATATCATAAAAAAACAACAGAAATCCTAGAGCTGAAGAATTCAACGAATGAAATAAAAATACAACTGAGGCCGGGCATGGTGGCTCAAGCCTGTAATCCCAGCACTTTGGGAGGCCGAGACGGGCGGATCACAAGGTCAGGAGATCGAGACCATCCTGGCTAACACGGCGAAACCCCGTCTCTATTAAAAAAAAACATACAAAAAAATTAGCCGGGTGAGGTGGTGGCACCTGTGGTCCCAGCTACTCGGGAGGCTGAGGCAGGAGAATGGCGGGAACCCGGGAGGTGGAGCTTGCAGTGAGCTGAGATCTGGCCACTGCACTCCAGCCTGGGCGACAGAGCGAGACTCCGTCTCAAAAAAAAAAAAAAAAAAAAAAAAATACAACTGAGATCTATCTTCAACAATACACTAGACCAAGCAGAAGAAAGAATTTCTGAACTTGAAGACAGGTCTTTTGAAATAACATAGGTAGACAAAAAAAAAAAAAAAAAAAAAAAAAAAAAAAAAAAAAAAAAAAAAAAAAAAAGAAGAATGAAGAAAACCCACAGGATTTATAAGACACCATGAAGAGGATAAATATTCATTCATATAATGGGCATTTAAGAAGGAAAAGAGAAGGGAAAATGTGAGGACAACACATTTAATGAAATAATAGCAGAACATTTTCCAAGTCTTGGGAGAAGAGATGGATATCCAGGTCTGGGGAACTCAAAGAATCCTAGTAGATTCAATCTAATGGATCCTCTCAGAGGCACATTATAGTCAAATTGTTAAAAGTCAAAGAGAAAGAATTTTAAAAGCAGCAAGAAAAATGTGTCAAGTCACAATTAAAGGAATCCCCATTATACTAACAGTAGATTTCTTAGCAGAAATCTTACTGGGGAGAATGGATGATATATTTAGATACATTCAAAATACTGAAGGAAAAAAACACTGCCAGCCAAGAATATTAGACCCAGTAAAGCTATCTTTTAGAAATGAAGGAGAAATACAGTCTTTTACACGGCCAGGTGTGGTGGCTCACACTTGTAATCCCAGTGCTTTGGGAGACTAAGGCAGGAAGATTACTTGAGCCCAGGAATTTGAGACCAGCCTGGGCAACATAGCAAGACCCTATCTCTTAAAAAAAATTAGCAGGCATGGCACATGCCTGTAGTCTCAGCTGTGTGGCAGGCTAAGGTGGGAGGGATTACTTGAGCTTACGAGTTTGATGCTGCAGTGAGCTATGATCATGCCACTACACTCCATCTCTTAAAAAAACCAACTCTTTCATAGACAAGCA